AAGCTCTATGAACTTCATGGTTTCCAATTACACATGAAATGGTCATAGCACCAGGATCTTTGAACTTAGGTGGAGTGTTATGTTGAATAATGGAATTCACTTGCTTCGTGAAAAGCACTTTTTTAGGGCCTTATCCCTTGTTCTTTCTCTTTTGTATGTATAGGTCTTTCAGAAATTTTGCATAAGGTGGAATTTGCCTAATTGCATATAAGAGAGGAAGATTTATTTTAACTTGCTTGAACACCTCCATCATATCATGTATTTTTCCTTCTTGTCTCCCAAAAAGTGAAGTCTCTCTCAAAGCATATGGAAATGGAGCTTTTGGTTCATAGGATTTTGTAACTTAAGGAAATGATAAAGAAGATGGAGAATTCTTAGTGGGACTATTCTCATCCAATGAAGTAGGAATAAGATTGGAAACGGGACGGGTGATAACTTTGGGTTACACCGGTTCAATATCTTCACTTAGTTTTTCGATCCTATTATCAATTTTCCTACCACTTCTCAAAGTGGTAATTGCTTACAGTTTCTCTTGGGAAGGGCATCCTGATGTAGGATTTGCTTTCACTAAGTATTGGGCCTTTGGGTTTCTTTCAGGTTGGCTAGGTAGCTTACCAATCTCTCTTTCATTCAAGGAATTAGCTATCATCTCAATTTGGGATTCAAGCTTTGATATGGATTAAGAATGAGAATGCAATAATTTAGTGTTCACTTCCAAGCTACCCAAAGCCACCAAGACCTTATCTTCAAATGTGGAATCGCTAGAAAGTGCTTGAGAGTGATGTGAGAAAATTTGAGGATTGCACACTTGAGGGTGAGAATAGTGGTTCATTCTTTGATGATGAGAAGAAGATGGAACAAATCCTTGAGAACCTTCATTTCTTTTATGAGGAGGAACATACCAACCTTGAAAATTTGTAGTTTAAAAAGGACTTGAATTTTCACTCCACACTGGAATATAAGCATTTGAATGAGGGTGAGCAAATGTAACATTGACTTCTTCATAGTGTTTATTAGGCAAATATCCATGGGGACAATTGGAAGTAGTTTGCAACACACTTGAACATGTCATGCAAGGCTCACAAGAATGATGAGGATGATGATGATAATGAAAAGGGGATAATTAAATAGCCAGTTTTTGACTCAATAGGAATTGATCAAGTCTTTTAGTAAGAGTTTTAACTTCGGCTACAATCTCCATTAGACTTTCAACTTAACATACTTTTAAATTTTCCATCCTTGTATTAGAATTGTGATTCACCCGAGAGGCTTGAGATTTATGCAATGAAGTTTCACTCAATTTTTCAAATAGGTGCCAAATATCATCTTTATGTTTCCCAAAATATGAACCTCCACATGAAGAATCCACAATTTCCTTGTGAGTGTCGGATAAGCTTTAATAGAAATATTGAACCACTTGCCTTTCTGGAATGGCATAGAGTGGACATTTCCATAGCAAGTCATTCAATCTTTCCTAAGCCTCATATAAAAGCTCTCTCTCCCTGTGAGAAAATTCTCTAATGGCGGTTCTCATTGAATTGGTCAAGCTAACGGGGGTAATATTTTTTCAAATATTCATTTTGCATTTGTGTCCAAGAAGTTATTGAATTTGCCCCAAATTATTAAACCAATGTTTCGCCTTATTTTTAAGAGTGAAAGGGAAGAGAAGTAACCTAAGGACTTCTTTCGGGACATTCATGTAACTCTCGGTGGAGCATACCTCAAGAAATTCATCTAGATGGTTATATGGTTCCTCATCATTTAAGCCATACAAAAGTGGACACATTTGAATAGTCTCAAGCTTAATTTCATATTGATCAGCCCCAAAATTAGGGAGCACGATACAATTCGGTGTGTAGTACTTATAGAAATTGTAATGATCACGAAGGATCATTGGAGGAATTGGAGCTTGAACTAGGGGAATGAATTGGTCGAATGGAGAGTGTTCCATGAAGTTCGGGTCTAGGTAACCATGATTTCCCTCAAAGTTTTCCATTGGAGTGACTAAGATGAAGAATGGGAAAAGGACTGCATAAAACTCAAATAACACACCAACAAAAACAACAAAAACAAGAACTCCTCCTCCACAATGTTGTGTTGTTACTTTTTAATTATAAATAACCACTCACAATAGCACGAATCTTTGTAGGATAGCATTATAGAGAGGGTGTCGAACCCACAGGGAGATGAGGTATTATGTTCTGCTTTTAATTAATCTCTATTGGTTTATAGGTAACTAGTTGAATTATTTGATTGGTTGTCACGATAATAAACTAAAATTAAACTAAAAATAAACTAGAGTGATCAGAGAGAGAAAGGTCTCAGGGCGTTGACTTCACCACAACCTTCATACCATGGTTAACTGTTTCAACTTTGGGGATTTAACAAATTATATTTTAAATGAATTGAACTCAATAACATTCGTTCAATTCAGGTTTTAAAGAAAGATGTTTTATAAAATTCAGTTAACTATTACCTATCTGCGGTTAGCATGGACTATCCACCTACCTACTCTAACTACTTTAACTAATATGTGAACAATCCATCTTTCCTAAGCATAGACTATGAAAACATTCTTTTATAAAAAAAACATTGGAACACCATTACATGACCTCTATTCTTATGTCCGGCAGGGCTCCGCCAGATACCGTCCAATAAGAATATGTTGAGAATAGAAAATAAACAGTTATATGTAAGACAAGGTAATAACAATTTGAAAACTATTTAAAACATTAAATCAAATTGAGTTGTCTTGATTACTCATAGTCATGTAATCAAAAACATAATATATATTTAAATACCCCAGAGTTAAAAACAATCAAACCATAGTACTAGATTGGGTTACATCAGTGCCCTAAAAGAGGAATTAGCTACTCACGACGATGTCAAATATCATCTATGTTATAGTCGTCTCCATCGTCATGAACGACACTTCTCTTCTCAAGATCTTCACCTTCTAAGGTTATGGAAACCCTAAAAGCCACCACCACAGTATCAACCTTTTGAATAATACAAGAAAAAGGAACTTCTATGTTGGTGCCAAAGTTTCTATCACTAAAGAAGACATTGTAGATGAAATCGAATATTGGAAGTCGTCTTTTGTGGGTTATGTGATGGGTAAGCGACCATATTACCCTCACTTCAAAGCGTTCATTGAGAAACATTGGTCTAAGGCAGCTATGTTGGTTTACTTGAAGAATGGCTTTTTCATGGTACGTTTTCAACACTCGGCTGATGTGCAAAAAGTTCTATCATGTATTCATACATTGGAAGGTCAAGTGATCATTATCAAACAATGGAGCAAGAATGTTATTCTACAAAGGGAGGAGTTTGACTCGCTGCCAGTTTGGATTCGTGTCCATGATCTTCCTGTCTATTGTCAAAATAATACATTCTTCTGTACGGTTTATTCTTTATTCTTGAAGCCTATATATATGGATCACCATTCATTACATCGAGATAAAGGTCAATTTGTTCGTGTAATGGTAGAGGTGGATGTTAGGAAAGAGTTACTAGAGATATTGGTGATTGATGTTCATGGTGAAGACTACACAGTCAATATTGAATATGAATGTAATCCTACTATGTGTTCATTATGCAAACGGGTGGATTATGTAGCAGAGAGATGCCCTCAAAAAGTTTTGAGTAAACCTAAACCTAAAAAACATACTGGGGATAGGTGGGTTGTGAAACAGAAAGGAAAAATGGTGGATATTGATGAAGCCAATCAAGTGTTTGTTTAAAAGCTTGTAAGAGAAGTTGAATTCCCGCATATTACTACATATAACCCCTTTGTAATGCTTAAACTAGATGTGGTTATAGAGCCTATTTCTGAGAAAAAGGGTTGTATTAATATTGCGGTGATGGTAAAAGAGGTGCCTGCTTTAATGAAGGAATTGCCTAATTTGGAGGCTGCTGCTGGAGTGCCAGCTGATGTAAATGCTACTATGGGAAAGGGACCACTGGCTGATAGTTCCAATGCTGCTGAATCTGATATCTTGGAAGAGACAATCACTGAATTGAGTGTAGGAGAAGTTACTCCTCAATAATCAGTAATTACATATGGTGATTTAAAGATGGAACTGGGGAAAAAATCTAAATATCGAGCTTTGACTTCTTCTGATAGGGTTACTAGGAGTAAAGTAAGGGTTTCTGCCCCAACCTCGACTTCTAAATGATTGGTTTCTGGAATGTGAGGGGCTTGAATAAGCCCAGAAGACAAAGGGAGGTCAAAAATTAGATATCTATGGAGGCTTCTCAGTTTGTTTGCTTTATTGAAACTAAGGTGAAAAAAGATGCTTTTGATTCTATTTCTAGAAGATTAAGATTTAATTGGGAATGGCTCCACAACTATGATGCTTATGACTATGGTAGAATTTCAGTTCGCTAGATCCCTCTTGTTTTTTCTTTGATGTGAAAACCCAGTGTATGTTGCTCAAAGTGAGAATTGTAGCAACTAGAGAAGATTTCTTTTGTACCCCTGTGTATGCTCTGAATTTGGCTAAGGATAGGAAGGTTCTTTGGGATTCTATAAGACAATATTCTAATATGGTCACTGGTCCATGGATGGCTATGGGAGATTGGAATGCCATTAGATTCTTTAGTGACAAGAAGGGTGGGAGAAAGGTTCCATAGAGACTCTTGAATGAATTCAATGACTGTTTGGTTCATGCTGGTCTTAATGAAGTGCATCCTATAAATGGTGAATGGTCTTGGTGTAATAGACAAAAGATTTTTAAGAAAATTTTTGTCAAACTGGATAGAGTTTTCTTAAATGAGACATGACTAGATAAATTACCTGGTACTAAGGTGTTATACACAGCTATAGCTTGTTCTGATCATTATGGGATGTCTATCCATATTTCTAAAGATTTTGTTATTGGTCCTAAGCCCTTCAAAATGTTAAAGGTGTGGTGTATGCAAGGTTGTACTCATTCTCTTGTGCAGAAAGCTTGGGATAATGTGGCTGGTGCTAACCCCATATATATTTTCTTAAGGAAATGAGGTTAGTGAAGAATGATATTAAGGAGTGGAACAAGAATTGTTTTGGAGATATAGGGGAGAAGTTAAGAAAGACTAAAAATCATCTTGAACAATCACAGTTGAATCTGTTGAGTGATCCTACTAAGACTAATTTTCAAATTGAGCTAGAAGCTAAAGTTGACTATCAGGCTGCTACTGTGGACCAAGAGGTTTTGGTTACCCAAAAGTCTAGAATTCTTTGGCTGAAAGATAATGATAGATGTACAGGTTATTTTTACAACAAAATGAAACAACATAAGAATTTCAATAACTTCTGTGGAGAAAGAGAATGGACAGTCTACTATGGATCAAAACTTAATCAGAAAATGGTTTGTAGAGTTATAAAGTTTGTTTTCTAAAAACCTGAAAGTCTTCCAGAGGTTATTACTCCTGTTAAAAAACTTAAAGTTAAAGAGGTAAAAGCTTTTGACAAGATGGTAAGTGCAGAAGAGATTAAGGGAGTTATGGGTTTTAATCCAGATAAATCAGCAGGTCCAGATGGTTTCCCTACTCGGTTCTTTCAAAAAATTTGGTCAATTGTGGGAATGGATGTGATTGCTGTAGTTCAATCTTTTTTCAGTACCAGTGTTATGCCTATAGGTGTCAGCAGTTGTTTTTTTACTTTAATCCCTAAGGTAGGCAATGCTAAGAAGCTTGGTGAGTTTAGACTTATTGCCTTATGCAACTTGTTATACAAGGTCATTACTAAAATTATAGCTAATAGACTATCTTTGGTTTTAACTTCTTTGGTTGGTCCTTAACAAAATGCCTTTTTGAAAGGTCGAAGAATTCAAGATGCTTTGATTTTGGCTCATGCAATGGTTAAGGATTTTAAAGGTCCAAATCATGCCTCTATGGCTCTTAAAATGGATATTAAGAAGGCTTATGATTCAGTTTCATAGGTTTTTTGCTAAAGATTCTCAAGGGGTATGGATTCAGTGAAGTATGCATTGCTTGATATCAAATATTCTTACTAATACTAGATACTCTATCTTAATTAATGGTTCCCCACATGGTTTTATTCAGCCAAGAAGGGGTCTTAGACAAGGATGTCCCCTATCCCCTTCGTTGCTCACTTTAATTACAGAACATCTTACTTCTGTTATCAATGATGTTGTTTAAAGGAAGAAGCTGTCTATTACTCACACTGCTGCTCAAATTCAACCAGTGGTAAGTCATGTCTTTTTTGCTGATGATTTCTTGATTGCTTGTAAAGCTTCAGCCTCTAATGCCAAAACCTTAGTTGATTTGTTCAAGAAATTTGAAGATTTAACTGTTCTATAAGTCAGTCCACAAAAGAGTAGTATTATGTTCTCTAGAGTAGTGAGGAGAAAGCAGTCTATATTAAGAATTTTGAATTGCTCTGAAGATCAATTGCCCATTAAACACTTGGGACTACCTTTGTGTTCATCTGGTCTAAAGAGAACAAACTGCCAACTTTTAATTGATAAGGTCTCTAACAGGATCAATTGTTGGTACACTAAGTTATTGTCAGTTGCTGGTAAGGTGGAGCTCATTCGATCAACTATGACCCCTATTTTCTTATATTGGTGTAGCATCTATAATATTCCAATTTTAGTGATTAATCAGTTGTAGAAAATGTGTAGAAATTTCATGTGGGGCAGCACTGATCACTCAAAGAAATTACATCTTATGAGCTGGGATTTGATTACTAGGGAAGAAATTGAAGAAGGCTTTGGTTTGAGGAAACTTGTGGATATTCAGGATGCTTCAAAAGTTGTTTTAGCCCGGGATTTTTTGACTAGCAAAGATAGGTTATGGGTGGCATGGTTCAAGAATAAATACACTCCTCACTCAACTTATTGGACTGCTATTCCTAAAGTCACACATTCAGTTATTTGGAAATCTATGGTGGAGAAGAGAGATATCATGTTAGACCATGTTAGTTCTGTATTGGAACTGGATCAGTTTTTTCTTTCCAAGATCCTTGGTGTAATGGTTTGACAGTTGCTTAGAGGTTTGGTCATAGAGAACTAAAGTCCTTAAGTATTCCTAGAACAGCTGTTTTGAACACCTTAATGAGGAATGGTGTTTGGGATTTGAACAGATTGCAAGGCCACGATCTACACCAGCTTAGAGAATTTCTAGGATTGGTGGTGATACATACTGCTATGGATAAACTTCTATGGGATAATGGCAAGTTTTCTTTTAAGAAAGCTTGGTTGGCTATTAAAATTCACTCAGCTGAAGTGGACTGGTATCATTTTTGCTGGGGAAAAGCTAGACAGAGATGGTCCATTACTGCAATTTTTGTTTTACTTAATAGAGTACCATCTATGGTGAATCTTCAAAGAAGGAAAATATGTTTGGTTGTTAGATGTACACTATGTCATAGTGCCTTGGATACAACTGATCACTTATTTATTGGATGTTGTTTCTCACAGAAATTCTTGAGATGGTTAGGTGAGTTGTTGCAGTGGACATACACCAGTTTGATACTATTGTGTCATTGGAGGAATTATTTCACTGGTATAAAGATCTCAATTCTGTGGGCTATCAAAAAACCTTGTTTGTAGCTGCTTTGTGGGGTGTCCGGCATGATGGAAATACAAGGTTGCATGGAAATTCTACTGATCCTAAAGTTGTTGCTAAGAATCTTTTGTTGGAGGTGTTGGATATACACAATACCTCAATTTCAGATTTTTTGCTTTAGATTCTTTTTGTTTTAATGTGCTTGGGCAGTGGAGAGTTATCCACTGAGTTCCTAGTTTTGTTTTTCTAATCAGGGGTGGATGTATGTATCCATTCCATCTTAGGATTGCTTATCATTCTGGGGGAATGCCCTCTATGCTCCTGTACATATTTTTCTTTTCTTTTTATACAAACACAATTATGAAAAAAAAAAAAAAAAAAAAAAAAAAAAAAAAAACTTGTTTCTTTGCTTTGAAGTTCCTTTGCTTTGTTTTTCTTGGCTCCAAGTACCTAGCCAATCAAGAACAAACATAATAAGTAAACAAAATAAAATAAAGTAAAAACAAGGATGAAAAGAGTACTAATTCCTAATCAATTCCAAATATGACGTTGTTAATCCTTGGCAACGGTGCCAAAACTTGACAAGGTCGCTCGAATATGCCAAAATTGATGTGTGAATTGTGGCCAAGTTTGAATTTATAAAAGCCACTACTACTACTAACTACTAACGTAGCAAGAGTGAGTAGGGATCGTCCCAAGGGATTTGCAAGGTATTCTGGAATTAATGTTGGATTAGTAGGTCAAATGATCAAATAGGGTTTGGTTGGTTGAATTACACTAATGCTTTAATTAAAATAATGCAAATTAACAACAATCTAGAAATTAGGGAAAAGAGAATGAGAGAAAGGTATTGGGGCATAGAGTTCACCACTAAGCTTCACTTCACCAAACACTAGCAATTGTAAATTAAAGGGAAAATTTATGTTGTAAATTGTGTGTGTGTGTGTGTCATTAATTGAAAACTAAGTATGGATGGCAAATAAGTATAGATTGTCTAATTAATCAAGTGAGTAGCACAACCTATCAAATAAGGCCATTAACCATTCAATGAAACCATAATTAATGCACACACAAAAATTTAGAGAAATGTACTACTTGCACTCATAAGCATGGATCATCAAATAACAAGAATAGATTGTCCACCTATCTAGGAAATTAAAGCAATTACACTACAACTATGCTAATGACATGAAAATTAAACTAATTAAGCTAAGGAGGTAGCACAATCCATCAAGAAATAAGCATGATCCATCAAACAAATCACAAGAGTAATCAATTAAGCGTTATGCCTTGACCATCACTAGACTTATAAATCCAACACACATAGACATGCATCAAGCTCATAAAATCTAGAGAAAGCACATGAACATTCATTCTAGTATACATAGACATATGGATAGAATTAAATGATCAATTGAAATCATTAATTCATACAAATCATGTAAAAATACAAGATCTATATTTATTCATAGTCAAAACATCAATTACAACTAAAATCCCTAAAAATCACAAAATGCTAGGTTTAGGAAGCAAACCTAAGGGCTATCTCTAGCCCCAAGAGAAGGATTTAGCCATTCATTGTAGTGGCCATAGAACCCTCAAGGGTTGTCTTCAAGGTTGGCACCTCTTCTTCCTCCTTACTTTCTTCCCAAAACCCTAGTTCTAGATAGAGAGACTATTTATTCTATAATTGGTAAAAAAAAAAAATATCAACTCGAGGAACTATACAAATTGGTTCATTTAATTTCAATACAATGCCCTTTGAGTAGGCAACAAGTTAGAAATACTGCATTTGATTGGTGGAAACTTGCAGCAATAAAAGTTGGTAGAGTCCGAGGGCGCTTGGGAATTAGACAGCACACTGACAGCAGTCATTTCGATCGATCGATCCAACACTTGCTTCGATCGATTGAAGCTGACGTGACAAGATATTTTTGACACCTGGCAACTTTATTCATTGAGCTGGCACCGCCTTGATCTCCATCGATTGTAGATATCTTCGATCGATTGGGATTTCCTTCGATCGATCGAAGTTCCTTCAATGTAATTTTTTCTAACTTTTTCCGAGATTTTCTCCTTAGCTCCAAAGTTAAATGATAGGATCGAGTGACGATCTCAATTATAAATCAACCCTTTGCAATAGTACAAATCATTGTAAAATAGGGCTATTGTTCGGGTAAGTCGAACCACAAGGATTGCTAATTTATGGCAACCAAGATTGTAAAATTACTTTTAGCTTGATGAAAGAGGGATAAAGTTTTTGTTTGGTTTGTCACTAGAATTAGGAATTACAATTGCATAAAACAATAATTGCAAGAAATTGAAGAGATGAAAATAATATAGAGAGGACTAGGGAAATGAATCCACTACCTACCCTATAAACATGCTAGAAAATGATTTACATAGGATAGCAACATATATAAATATATGACCACGGAATGCATCACCTTCAAGAAATTCATGAAATCAATAGACAAGAATAACCTATCAAAGTTTTACATGCTTTGACTACCTAAACTAGGATGTAGCTTTAGACATGCTCACTAAGCTAGAGGCTATCAAGCCCTTAATCACGTGATAAAAGCACATAAAGTTAGAAATCAAGAATAATCTATCAAATGAAGGCCCTAAGCTATAGACTATCAAACTTCCTAAACCTTATGCCATTAAAATCATTCCACAACCTCATTTCCATTGTCACTATGAAAAAGCAAGCCATATAACCATGAGAAATTATAATCTAAGACAAGACCATAGCTTCAACATAATCATTTATAAAGATTAAAATTCATTACATCAAAATGAATGCTCTAGATTGTGAAATAATCATAAATATACATCATTCCCCCAAAATAAACCTACAACTATAGCATGCTTACAAAGTAGGGCTTCATCACCTCCCTAAAAAGGGAGTTAGTTACCCATAGATACAAAGGAGGAAGGAGAAGGAGTGATCTTCAACTCCATTTTTCGTACCTAAAGCTCCAAGACACACAAACCCTCTAACCTTACAATATTTCTCTTTCTAAAACTTGCCAAAATGTGAGATATCCCTTTACCAAACTCAAGCCCTCTATTTAACACCCAAAAATGACCTCTCCACCCTTCCATTTTTGTGGTCTAACATCCCTAGGACATTCAGCACCATATATTGGGTCAAGGGGACATCCTTGAACGAAACAATGTAGACCTATACCCACTTGTCTACAGATCGGCGAGCGCCTGCAAGTGCAGGGTGGGCGCCCGCAGATCTCTAGTCACTTTAGCAGGCGCTCGCAGCTTCTGGGTGGGCGCCCGCGGGAGCCTCGGTACACTGCCCTTTTTGGCTAGCGCTCGTGGTGATTGATGGTGGAGACCCGCAAGGCACAGCGTGGCCCAGCGCTGGCGAAAGACTACTGCCCAAATGGGC